AGCACTTCAGCTTCCACATAGGACCCAAATTACAAAGAATATACAGGAATTTAAAGTCACTCAGAAAGACCTTTATTATATCATTATAGGCACATAAAAATGAGATAAGAACGTAAATGTTGTACATGTTACAAGAATAAGCACAATAATTAGGAGGGAAATTTGCTTACAGTGTAAACAAAAACAGCTGTGGGAAGACTGCTCTCTTTATAATTATGCGGTATAAATGGTGATATCTGCCGACATGACACCTTCAATTCTGGGTCTGGTTCACCTGGAGTTATAAGGATGTTATAAGAAGACATAATATGATTTAGAACACATGAATCAGACAAATCAATTGACAGTAATACCATCATATATCGTCCACGCCCTAGGAAACAGTGCATGATACGTAGAATGCTGACCAGTCAAATTCCAGCCCCATGATGATATACCAAGATCGCCAGATTTTCTGTTAAACAAAATATATGTGTCAAACATGTACTAACACACTGGTTGTGGCATTCATTTATCTTGAAGCTGAAACTTCAGAAACATTAGCAAAGTTGAGATCAAGAATATCCTACAACATCAGTCAGTAAATACAGTGATAACATGAATGAGGGACACAACAATTATTGTGTTCGCCTTAACCCCCCAGATCCAGTTTATAGATAACATCCATTCGACACATAGTCAAAACCGTCATCCCATTATGTATAGAAATACACCCCACTCCAGCCCCAACCCACACATTTTCCCATTTGAGAGATGAAGCAACGGGAGGAGAAAGGATCAGAACTCTTACTTCTATCTTTAATTAGATGGGTAGCCAGCCTTACCTTCTTTTTTTATAAAATAAAAGAAAAAGAAAAGATTAAAGAACCCTCCCCACCACCCACCCCACAAAAAAAAATTAATAAAGATAACAAGAAAAACAAAAAATGTAAAAAATAAATAAACACAAACAAAAGGAAGACCCTTAGATGTACATGTTTTTGTGAATAGACTCAAAGCACTTGGGATTGGTACAACCTGTATAGCTCATTCACGATGTCACAAGCCAAGTTTTTATACAATTTTGTACCCATAAACTTTTTGTGCTGTTCTACTTCAATTAAAAACTACCAAATACCAAATAAGTTCTTCAAGATCAGCTTGCACTAGGATAGTTGCTAGATTAGCTGGAAAAACTAGCCAATTAGCAATTTTTAAGGCTTGTCAAGATATCAAGCTTAGCTTGAACATCCTGAAGCTTGGGCTCAATGCTCCTTTACACCAATAGCTACAAAGTTTAACAAAGAAAATGAAAAGTTATCCCAATCTTTAGAAATAAATCTGAATAATACTGCTATGTTTTTATTCCTACAGCCATATTAAGACAACGACGACGACAACAACAACAACAACAATAATAATAATAAAAGATTCTTACCTACATGTATCCCAATATTTAGAAATAAATCCATAAAATATTAACATATTTTTATTCGTACAGACATTAACGCAAATAGCTTCTTAACTCCATAATGTTCAAATAAGTATCAAGGCCAACAATCAAGTGTTTCAACAAAACATTTTCCCTTAAAATTCACCTTACAAATGCCCAGTGAATGCAAAAAATCAAAATGAACAGAATGTCCAACAACTGATTTATGAATGGACCAAAAAATAGTGTATGTCGATAGCCCAACATGATGGTGATAAATAATATCATTAACAGCAGGAAACAGTAATTTAATAGATCCTTGTCATTCGCTTTAAACGTGTAAAAAAACGTACTCTTTGTATGGTCTTAAAAAGCAACTTGACAGCAGAACGGAGAAAATAAATACCAAAAACAACTAGCAGATATTGACAATATGCCCTTGTTTGATTTTGATTCTTTTAGCCACTTCTCTCCCACACTCATTTTCAATCACACGTCTCAAAAAAAAAAAAAAAAAAAAAAATAAAATTTAACAAAAAAAAAAAAAAAGGCGGCATAATGCGCTTCCTAGATGGGATTAGGTGCGCCTAGGTAATGCGCCGCTGAAGGACAAAGCATATATTTGTATAGCTTTCTTCTTGGTTGGGGTGTTGGGACTACTGATCAAAGATATGTCCTCTGGACCATTTGAAAACGATATAAAAACACAGAGAACACAGAAAAATATATTCAAATATCATCAAACATTAGTCAAATAATTGATAAACTCAATCTGATATTGAAAAGCAGGTGTGCAATTGTCAAAATGATCTATCAAGTCAGTTGCCTGTTTCATAAGTCAAGCCTACAAATATTTTCGATATTAAATGCAGTTTTAAATCCAGTAAAAAATGGCCAATCTTAATAACTTAGCTACTCTAATGTTTTAGACAGTCATACTTTATACAGAGGTAATAACACAAATCTTTCATTTATGGTGGATTTATAGAAATTAGCCAATCACACTTGCAAAGCATCAATGCTTTTCTCATGACCACTGTTAAGATTTGGGGGTCCATCTTAAAAGGTCAACCTTATTAAGAGGAGTAGCCCAAAATCTTTATTAATTGGTCTGTGTCAACATCTTTATTCGATGTGGGATTATATCCCTTAACAACCACAAACTGAAAATCATAGTTACCCTGCTCTATTTTAGAAGGTTATAAAATCAAGAAAGTTCGATCCCTTCTTGGATGAGTAACTAGTATCGTTAATGCGGATTAGCAAGACCAGTAGTCTACCACACTCATGGAACAAAGTGTTTCACATGACCACAAACTGAATATCATAGACACCCTGCTTGATTTCAGGAGGCTATAGAATCTAAAACATTCCATCCCTTCTCGAATGAGCAACTCGTATTTTGATAATGCAGGACTACACTTCAACCCGTGAAAACAAATTAACAATCAGATTTTCCTACTTGATTTAGGAGATTAGCAGATCTGTGCCTTCTTCAAGACTTATGCAAGACAGAACAAGATATAAATATTTTATAATAACTGGATAGCATAGTTATGACCAAGGTTAATACAATCCTGCATAGATTAGTTCCTCTTCCCTTCCCAGTGTAGGTATGTGAGTGTGGGTAGTTAGTTAAATCCAAGAATATCTGGCAGGTTTCATTTGCTATTTTGATAATTTTCCCCAAGATCGAAAAGGTTAGTATGAATTAAAAATATAGGAACCAGGATGACTATAAAGCTCATAATCAGAAATAAAAACTGTCAAAAAATAATTTGAGTCATTTACCAGATAATCATTAGGAATATCAGAAAGAAAAAAAAGGTGTCAGAATTAAATGCTAACTAAAAATTATTGCAGCACAGTTGAACAACTTTTGGGTAAACAGGTTTTCTTTATTCAATATAAAAAATAAATCCTTTACAGGTACTTGATCAATAAAACAAAGAACAGAAGTTGACCATTTTTTTTTGTTCCAAAAACTTATTTTTGGCACAAACTGCATTTTTTAAGGGGCACGCTCCTCTTTTTTTCTCCTGGTTAGTTATAAGTCCATACTTATAGAAGTGAATGCTGAAGTTAACAGAGCATGTTAATTACTACAATCACCCTTTCACTTTGTAAACCTACAACTCGAAGATATCTAGGATTTAAGTTATGAACTTACTTTTGTCCATATTTAAATTTTCTTTTTTATTATAAGAACTGTGTCAACTATCAACATCACTTTTGCCTATTTAAACATTCAGACAATCAAAGAAATATATGCAAACCAACAGTCATATATAGCTATAAAGTTGACTACTGAACGAACACTACATCGTCTACGCCTGAGACTCCGTCTTCTCCTCTACAAAAAGAAGTTGGAAAAGCCAGAAAAATGAAGCATCATAATCAAAACCAAACCATGCAACATTGATAAAACAATAATGCATTGAAGGTTCTCACATAAATGGCTCATTCACATGACCTCCTGACAGTTGCGAGATACCTCCAATTGAATTCTGAATAAAAAACAAACAGCTATAACGGAATATACAAGCACTTGGCCAACTTCTCTAACTGCCGAGACTACAGTAATTATCAGCAGAAATACTTACAGCCCATGTAAAAAGAAGGCTGACCTTTGCCCTTTCCTTGCCAGTATTTACCAACTAGAACAGAAAAATGCCATATAAGTGAAGTGAATAATTAATATCCGTCATGATTCAGGAACTAACTTAATTACAAAGTTAAATGCGTCGATAGAATGCATATTTATCATTCTTCCGACTAGATCATTACAAACCATCGAATTATGGGTCTTCATTAATCAAGGAAAAGTCATACAATATTTTCACATGTTGAAAACATGCAGGAATAAACAAACAAGACTTTTGAGAACAGTTAATAGAGGTCTTGCAAATTCACCTTTATGCAATAAAGCATGACTTGAAAGTAAGCCCATGTTTGTGCTCCATTTTATTCAAAATGTATTTTTCTCTTCCTTGTTTTCAATCACACATTCTCCAATAAAATAATATTACAGGTAAATCCAAAAATTTTCTACTTTTAACCACACATCTTTCAAAAAAATCACTATTCCAAAATACATTTTTCCCAAAATTTGATTTTAACGGAGCCCAAACAAGGGCTAAGTTTGTTTCCATCTAAACATTGTTCTACTCTCTCACAGGCTGTATATAGTACCTAATCTAATTTTTCTAGTTTCTTTGTTTAAGGGGGTAAAACTCTCCACAGAGATATTTCTAAAGAGAAAATAAATGAAAAATCCCGTCTAAGAGACCAAGTCTTCGGTTACTAGATGGATGGTCTTCCAAATAAGTAGCCTAGAAAAACCATGCTCCCGCATAAAAATTACAGCCTAGTTCCAAAAAACACAAGTGATAATAGCAGCTACTATAAGAGTGCCTATCAACTAGCTGATATTATCAATTATATTGTTTAATAAATTGATGCCAGCACTTCAGCTTCCACATAGGACCTAAATTACAAAGAATATACAGGAATTTAAAGTCACTCAGAAAGACGTTTATTATATCATTATAGGCACATAAAAATGAGATAAGAACGTAAATGTTGTACATGTTACAAGAATAAGCACAATAATTAGGAGGGAAATTTGCTTACAGTGTAAACAAAAACAGCTGTGGGAAGACTGCTCTCTTTATAATTATGCGGTATAAATGGTGATATCTGTCGACAGGACACCTTCAATTCTGGGTCTGGTTCGCCTGGAGTTATCAGGATGTTATCAGAAGACATGGTATGATTTTAGAACACATGAATCAGAAAAACAGTTGACAGCAATACCATCATATATCGTCCACGCCCTAGGAAACAGTGCATGATACGTAGAATGCTGACCAGTTAAATTCCAACCCCATGATGATATACCAAGATCGCCAGATTTTCTGTTGAACAAAATATACGTGTCAAATATTTACTAACACACTGGTTGTGGCATTCATTTATCTTGAAGCTGAAACTTCAGAAACATTAGCAAAGTTGAGATCAAGAATATCCTACATCATCAGTCAGTAAATACAGTGATAACATGAATGAGGGACATAACAAATTCAATTATTGTGTTCGCCTTAACCCCCCAGATCCAGTTTATAGATAACATCCATTCGACACGTAGTCAAAACCGTCATCCCATCATGTATAGAAATACGCCCCACTCCAGCCCCAAACTACACATTTTCCCATTTGAGAGATGAAGCAACAGGAGGAGAAAGGATCAGAACTCGTACTTCTATCTTTAATTAGATGGGTAGCCTGCTTTACCTTCTTTTTTTATAAAATAAAAGAAAAAGAAAAGGTTAAAGAACCCTCCCCACCACCCACCCCACAAAAAAAAGAAAATTTAATAAAGATAACAAGAAAAACAAAAAATGTAAAAAATAAATAAACACAAACAAAAGGAAGACCCTTAGATGTACATATTTTTGTGAATAGACTCAAAGCACTTGGGATTGGTACAACCTGTATAGCTCATTCACGATGTCACAAGCCAAGTTTTTATACAATTTTGTACCCATAAACTTTTTGTGCTGTGCTACTTCAATTAAAAACTACCAAATACTAAATAAGTTCTTCAAGATCAGCTTGCACTAGGATAGTCGCTAGATTAGCTGGAAAAACTAGCCAATTAGCAATTTTTAAGGCTTGACAAGATATCAAGCTTAGCTTGAACAGCCTGAAGCTTGGGCTCAATGCTCCTTTACACCAATAGATATAAAGTTTAATAAAGAAAATGAAAAGTTATCCCAATCTTTAGAAATAAATCTGAATAATACTGCTATGTTTTTATTCCTACAGCCATATTAAGACAACAACAAAAAAATAAAATAAAATAAAATAAAAGATTCTTACCTACATGTATCCCAATCTTTAGAAATAAATCCGTAAAATATTAACATATTTTTATTCATTCAGACATTAACGCAAATAGCTTCTTAACTCCATAATGTTCAAATAAGTATCAAGGCCAACAATCAAGTATTTCAACAAAACATTTTCCCTTAAAATTCACCTTACTGCCCAGTGAATGCAAAAAATCAAAATGAACAGAATGTCCAACAACTGATTTATGAATGGACCAAAAAAATAGTGTATGTCGATAGCTCAAAATGATGGTGATAAATAATATCATTAACAGCAGAAAACAGTAATTTAATAGATCCTTGACATTCGCTTAAAACATGTAAAAACCGTAATCTTTGTATGGTCTTAAAAAGCAACTTGACAGCAGAACGGAGAAAATATATACCAAAAACAACTAGCAGATATTGACAATATGCCCTTGTTTGATTTTGATTCTTTTAGTCACTTCTCTCACACTCATTTTCAATCACACGTTCTCAAAAAACAAAAAAACAAAAAATCATCATTCATGTTTCCCCATAACTTTTTCCTACTTTTTAAAGGCACATTCACTAAATAGTCAAAGAATACTTTTTTTGTTTCAAATCCATAAACAATACAACACCGTTAAAAATTAGTTTTAAAACAGATAAGATGTAGAAAAATTCTGCTTAAAATTCAATTGCTATTCTCCTTACCCCAACCCGTCATGCTGACCAGGAGCAAGAACTGATGCATATTTTTTGTTCCCTCCATCTCGAGATATGAAAATCTGCAGCATGTATAGAATGATTAGAAAATGATGAGCAATCATCAGATACACTGGAAAAAATTTTAAAGAAAGTTACTCTTCAAGATTTAGTTTCTTATTTAATCTAGTTCAAAATCATTAGCTTCGGGCAATGGGTCATGTAGTCTAAAACATTATCAATGGCCATTAACTTGGACAAACACCATGTAATATGGACACTTTAACTAGGGTAGCGTGTCCAACACGTGTCTGATACCAACTCTCCTCGGATACTTTGCCATAATTTTTTTCTTATCAAAATATATAATATTTTTAACTTAAAGTTATTATTAAATAACAAATACATATCCATATTTAAAACATTTCAACAAGAAAAATTAATAACAAGTATAAAACTAAATTTATACTATATAAATGAAGAACTTTACAGAATTTAATTAACGTGTCGTGTCAGTATTTTTTTGAAAAATCGTGTGTCGGTGCTTCATAGGACAAATATATGGGTCGTGCTCACAAGCAACCTCCGAACATTGCTTTTATACTAGGTCAGTTGTTTTGATTAGCATTAAAGTATTTTTGCAGAAAAATTAAGGAGCAATAAATATATTGATCATAAATGCGTTTCAAGGATTCGAAAAATAAATCTGCAGAAGCAAAACCATGGAAAAAAATTATTTTAACAGGAAAAATCTCAAGTACAAGCAATAAATATGAAAAACATAATTCTGAGTTTGGTATCAACTGAGGATTCAGCTCGATCTACTTTAGATGTCAAGACTGAATTCCGAATAAATTTTCTCACCAGACAATAGACCAATCTCTGGCAATAAATACATTCTCCAATAGATATATGCGGGTAGAATCCCATGAAATAAAGTTGCAACGCTGACGCTCCAGAATTACTACACAAATTCTATTTTCTCTGGTACCTTAATTTTCAGCAAGTGCAATTTGATTCTGCTAAATTTGCATCAGTGATTTATGCGGTCCAGAAGATTCATTACACGAAAAAAGGGGACAAAAAAAAGAAAAAAAAAATTGCTCTGACATTTGGTATGACATGACTTCCTCACACCACTAAGTTTTGCTTCAGACTTAGTCATTTTGAATTGCATTTATACATCCAAAGAAAGTTTGGAATACAATGTGTTCAGCTACTAGAGATGTGGATGCATGGTAGTTATGTTATAAGGAAAAATAAACTGGTAGAAATAGAAAATGTGCTAAAGAACAGAAAAGTTTCAAATGAACATTTTAAATGCCAAGCACTATGTTATGGACTGTTATCCATTCTATATTACTAAAACAAATTGCAGCTTCATCAGCATATAAGTAGCACAAACATCAAGTTCAACAGAAAACCTCTATTAAATTATAAGTTCTAGAGAAGGGATTTACTGAAAATTGATTGGCCATGACAGGAGAAGTCTCACATATACCGGGAAGAATTTGGAAACTCCTGAACTCCCCTCTAAAACCTCTGGATACACTTCCACTTCTGTCATATTACAAAGAGTGACCCTCTATTAGGGGGACAAGAATATCAGATACATACAGAATAGTTGTCATAAAGTTCACCCACTACTTACCCCATCCCTCCAAGCGGAACTCCTTGTGTTGCCGAAGGCTTACAACTTTCTCGAGTGAAAGGATCGATTGGTGCTTTCTATGCCAAGAGATGAAAAATAATTTTTAAATAAGACAGCTTAAAGAATAAGCCTGCTTCTAAAAGACTTTTGAACTTAAAAAGAAATAGTAAGTATCCTTGGCATGAAGAACAATGGCAAAGAACCAAATGCTAAGAGGATAAGAGAGTTACCCTTCCATGGGATGCCTCTTCCCGTGTATAATGCCATAAACGTAACCCAAGTCGAAACTAAAATCAACAACAAGCACAGTAAAAGATCGATTGAGAACTAAGAATAGAGCATATTATGCATATCTATTGGTCAGTATCACAAGAAAGTGTGTTGATTACCATTTTTATTGCTTCTGTAAATGTAACACTGAATTCTTTAAGAATACTAGCATTGCTATTTAATTTCCTTCTCCATGCTTGTTCAGGAGCAGCTGCACTATCAAAATCAAGCTGCAGCAAAAACTCAATGAGTCAATAGGGTGGGTAAAAGAAAGAATCAAGGCTAAATTGGCATACTAGCATAAACACTGGAGCTAAAAACATAAAATTGGTGTTGTGCGAACATAAAATAGCACACATTATGAAAGAAAACAAGGCCAGAGAATGTGAGAACCCACCCCCCCCTCCCCCCCCTTCTTCAAACACACCAAAACAAATTTATCCATTTTAAAATCTAAATTAAAACAGCAAATGGCAGAGTGACCATTAATCAACGGAAATCCAATTCAGATTATTATTCAATTGCATCACCTCCACCAATACAAAAACAAATAATGACACAAAGTTTGAATGGATTGCTTAAAGATAATTCTGGAAACAGCTCTAACAGAATTCAAGTCTCGTTACAATTTGTAGAATCAAAATATTATGAAAAAACTTGAGATTTCTACCAATAAAATATTCAAAAAAATCAAGAAAAAGGCTCACCAAATGCAAAGTATTTCGATTGATATATTCCTCCGGTGGCCACGAATTCTTTCTACTGTGAAACAAATTCGCACTCAACATTTCGACTGTTGCTTTATATTACCCTGTATATATGTGTATATATACAATCACCCTTCAAAAAATTAAGATTGGAATTTTACCAAATGCCTCAAAACCAGTAAAAACCCCTATATTAATATCAAGAACCACCCACTTAGCTTTTAATCCTTCCAAAATCCGACCTTTAAAGCCAACCCACTTTCTTATTCTGTGCAAAAGTTGACATAAACACAACAAAAAAAACTTAAAAATAATGAAAATCCCCCGAAAAGATTTGGAGTGGAAGCAAAAAGATAAAACCCTTTGAGTAAAAGAAACAATTGAGAGAGTCTGATTGGGTTCGAAAATCTTGGGATGGTGATTTGATTAACCGAAGTTAAAATACAGGTTTTAGAAAATTCCAAAAGATTTTTTACTACAAGCTTCAATTAAATTGAATTTTCACCCTATCTTCCCAGTTGCGTTTCTCTTGAAAGCACACCTGGAATTTGGAAATATGAACTCTTGAGCAGTTGCCAGGTGGTGGTAAACAACAGATGACTATTGCTCTACTGCAAAACTCTCTCTGTGTATTATGTATGTATGTATGTATGTGTCAGTAACTGTAAAAATTCACAGATATTGAAATTGAAGTTTTAAAGAACTTTTTTCTTGTAGAGAGAGAATTGAAAATTCAGCAACAGGTTGTTGAATATGGACTCTGTGTGGTTGCATGATTCCATCATGAGTGCTTTTTGGACTCCACACTGTTACAATTGTGAAAAGATGCCAAATCTTTGTGCTATTCTTGCAACTATTTGCTGGCGGTGCTTATTTATGCTTATTTTAAAACTTACTCCTATTATAGATTATTTTTACTTATAAATCACAATTTAAAGATTTTTTTTATCAACAAATAATGCGACAGTATTTGATCGAGTCAAAGTCTCATCAACTAAATAAAAAAATAGAAGTACTACATGTACATAAATCTATACATAACGGTGTCGATAATTATACGTGGCACTGGATCCAACTATTAATTCAAATTTACACGTGGCACTGGATCCAACTATTAATTCAAATCTCACACTTTCACATCAACAACAAGATTTCGTCCACATCACATTATGGACGCTATTATGTATATGTAGACTTTTCCATAAAAAAAATTACTCTTCTATTTTTTTTTGTCGCCCCATCAATCTGTAAAAAATGATTTACAACAAGAATTTTTCTTATTGTTAATTTAATTAATTCTCTCATTGTCATGTGTAGTTAAATGCTTTACAAATATTTTCAATTAACTTTGAGTTTTTTGTCATAGTTAATAATATCACAGGCAAATGTGAATTTTTTGCCCCAAAAAAATCGTATTTAATTTATTTATTATAATTGTAAAATAATCAAATATTTTGAATCGGCCAACACAAAGCATTAACGTTTTTAGGTCGAACATGGTGATTGGGGGTACATCCTAACACATTGTTTGAAAGAAAATAAATTTTAAGGAATTCAACTGTCTAAAACTTATTTGTATGAAAATTATTAATTAAATATGTTTGATTAATTTAATTTTCAACCTATAAAATATTATACTTGTCTATTTTTTATTAGTAAGTAGATGAGAGACGGGGATAGATGGGGGAGAGAGAAAGAGAGAGTTAACTACCTGAAAATAAAAATCACCCCCTAAAGAAAATGATTTTCTTGTTTTTGAAGAAAATATGATCACATAACCAAAAGTTGAAAAATATTTTTCATGAAAGAAATTGTCAATCAAACACCCAAAAAATAAGAATTTGGGTGGAAAAATGATATTTTTCATTGAAAATAAAGTCAATGAAACACAAAATGTTAAAAGTAGCGGTATAAAATATAATTATCAATAGTCATTAATATTTTAATAACTGGTTATCTTTTATTATAAATTACAATTGTTGATTGCTTGCTTTATGGAATAGTGATTTATACCATTAAGCGGGGCTAATCTCCCGTCAATAGCAGGCATGATACAAACTTCCCCGGGTTTTCTTGCGACATACTGTGAAGTTTTTATCCTATTCACTGTGGGCGGGAAATCAATTTAAACGATAAAAAATTTGTTTATCTAAAATTATTAGTAATTTTTTAAGAGGAACAGTAGTGAATATCACAAAAAGTGTATAAACAATAAACGATAACGGTTATAAATGTGTATTTGAAATTAATGTTTTGACTTGAATTGAATAAATAAGAAAAATTATTTGCAATTTTTTAGGAAATAATGACAAAACGAAAACGTAGTAAACAAAATGTTATTTGTAAAACCTAATGTGTACATTATCTAAAAATTTGTTCATAGAAAACGATACAATATATATGTGAATTTGACCATTTACATGTGCATCGATGATTAAAAAAAGTTGAAAAGAACATAATTGAACATATGGCGTGTGGGGTATAACTAGACGGTAAGGTACAAAATTAAATAAGAAATATATGAATAAAATATGTCTAGTATTCACTTTTGAATAATGCTAGGTGTACATAACCATTCAAATAATACTGACGTGGCAATCATCTACTTATTGATGTGTAAGTGTGAAATTTGAATTAAAGGTTGGATGACATGCCACGTGTAATTATGTGAACCATTATGTGAATGGTTATGTACCTGTAGCATTACTCTTCACTTTTATCATGTTCAATTTATCATATGTGAACACAAAAAAGTTGTTTTTATCATATCTTCTAAATTTTCTTGAAAACCTAATACGTGTATCAATCGTCAAATACTACAAAATTGAAAACATTTGTCGTATAGAGTTATGCTGACTAGACGCTTGAATACATAACAGAAGAAAACAAGAGATGCATGTAATCAGTTTAGTTTTTTCTGAAGTTCAAATTACCATATCCAATACATGAATATAGTTATAATGTTAGATGTTTTTATGATTTTCAAATTTTTCTTGACCAAAATTTTTCTTGTCCTACATCCTACATTTAAAAAAAAAACCGTATGTGACCACGAAATTACATTTCATGACACTATTCAAACAAATACCACAATTTATCATTTAGGGACGTTATAAATTGAGGGCTTATTTTATTTCCACTGGAAAAAACCACCCTAATTGGGTATGGTGATTTTTCAATTTAACGGACAACCATTTTGGACTGAAATGACCCACCAACTATAAAAGAAAAAGATTTGCTATATGTACACTGAGGTGTCAATCTTGATGTACAACCTCTATCACAATGGAGGGCTCACGAATTTTTTTATTGGATGTGGATCCCCCCCTTTTGTGAGATCCCGATGTACAAATAGCAAAACAAAAATGAAAAATGTTGAAAGGAATAGTTATTGTGAACTCGCCTAATATTTGGCCTTGTGAGTTGACACTAGAAGAAATTCATAATCTGTTATATTTGAAAGGATTTTATTTGGGATTGAATTCATTGAATAACAATTTATTGATGAATAAAAATCATGTTTTTGACATATACTTTTAAAAATATATACTTGAAAAGTTTGAATTTTTTATTGTTGATGCTATGCATATGAATGGTCGGGACAAAAATATCAACCTATTAAGATAAGGCCAATAAACTAGAAATTATTAGAGTTTGACTCTTCGATTTTTCACGCTAAAAAAAATGGGTCTAATAAATTATAAGAAAATTATTCAGAGGTTAACTTGATCGTCAAAGTACTATTCAAAATGTACCATAATGTTATCAAACTTGTATCCCTCAAACAACATTTGACAAACCTCATAATTCGATAACTTTGTATTTCAATATCTAAATTTAAAACAATCAATTCTAGTATGATTTTCCTTTTAAGTTTTAACTATATATTTATTTGTTTGTGATAAAAGATATATATGAAAGATGTAACTTATACCCTTTTAATGAAACAATTAGTTTAAATGTGCAAACATGATAAAATAATTTGTAATTTATGTATTCTACATACTAGATTATAAAAGATGTTATGAAATAATCTCCCGATGTATTATATAAGTGAATAATTGAGGCAACGATCATTTTAGAAAGTTTGGTGAATCTGTATTTGCGTTATTTGTTCATTCGGTAATCACAATATAAATAATCTATCACAAATGAATTTAGGGAGAGCGAGTTTTCAAGTTTAAATGAAGGAAGAAAGTTACTCCAAGTTAAAGAGTTAATATTTTACGAATTCAAGCGTGAGTACATATTTCACATGTGGCTACCAAACGCACATATACATAGTTGGTGCTAACCTTTTTATTATATTTATCATCATATAAATCTATACACGATGTTACAATTTTGTAAGTTTGTCTATGTATAATGTTAAATTGAGTTAATCGTGACAAAATAATTCAAATAATAATTTTGGTGTTGAAAATAATAACGTAAGAGAATTTAAGTCCATTAAGCAAGGCAAACCAAAGTGTGTCCCTTACACCTATATATGAGAATAATCAGTTTTGGGCTCATCAATACCTATGGTAACTCAATTATATATACTGTAAAAAAATGACTCGATATATATTGTACTTCAAAGAACATGCATATATAACTCTATATTATAAAAGAGACAGAGAAACAATTATATATAAAAAGGAAATAGGCATGTGGTTCTCTGAGGTATGCCCTATGCCTTCAAAGTACATAACCTATTCTATCAAAGAGACAGAGATGTGCACCACTGAGGTATTGAGATAGACAAGAACAAAGCATGAGAAATCCAACTTTTGTCTTGTTGATAGGCTAAAGCATAACAACTCGAGAATTCAGGAACTGAATAGCTCATAAAACGCTCATATTATAGAAGCGAAAGCAATGTGCCCCGGTCGAAGAGCATCTTTATAAAGAGAATGAATTTATATTTGTCTCAAGGGAGTCGAGTAGTGGGAGAGTTACCATTGAATTTAGCATAACACAGGGACTCCAAAACGGCTTCTTCTGCAACAACGGTAACATATAAGTATGAAAGCAAATGAATATTTTCATAACAAAAACTTATACTCGAAGAAGATGGTCAACAGTGACAAATTCAAATG